AGATAGTCCAATACGTGATGTAATTTTGTTATGATCTCTGTGAATTACAATCTTTAATTTCGCGAGTCAGTGAAAAGTGCAAAATTTTGTAGTGTTGAAAATTTCACTGAGGTTGACCTCAGACATGGAGACATGGAGGTTTTACAGTGTTTAGCAACAACTTTTCATTGTGAACACTTTTAAATGATCAGACCATGAAAATATAATGGTTGACTTTATTTGCATTATAAATCAGTTAAAAATAGGCATTTATAATTACTATTCAACCAACGCCCATCTAACAATTGATTAAATGGTATATGCACAGTATTATCTGCTCCCTGACCTCTTCAACTTTAAACATCACGTCTCAATACTTGATATTTAGTACTGTCTTGCATTTATAATTAAGGCTGAACTTTCAAATATTTAGTGAATACTTTTTATCTTGCATGCATAACAAGTAGCTGAGTTCCAGACCTACTGTGATTACTTTACCATGCAACTATGATGAGGTACAACTCAAAGGTAGCAGTGAAATTTTTAAATTAAATTCCCATGTCACTTTCCAGATTATATCAGGTGCAAATACACTTTTAGGCTTTCAATTTAAATAGAAAACATATATATGCATATTGCGATCTTGTCGGAAAACATGTGCTTTTTATCCGTGGTATTGAAAATCATGTAATGTCATATTATATTTATCCTCTAAAACTGCTGACTGGTGTTCTGTACCTCCCAGAAGGTCTCATTATAACAGGCCATGATCCTTTGTGGTGTGTTGCTATGGTTACTAGGCTAATGACATCAGCAGCATACTTCCAGTAAGGAGAAACTAAAGTTGTTTTTGGTCCCCCAAGCACACGGATGGGAACCTTTGTGTTTTTCCTGTCTGGGTTTTTCCAGCTTGTCTGTCTGTCTGTTCCTCGGCCTGCTTGTCTGTCTGTCTGTTCCTCGGCCTGCTTGTCTGTCTGTCTGTTCCACCAATATTTGTTGATCATTGCAATAATACATTGAGATGACGACAGACCTGATCGGATTTTAGTTCAAGTTTGTGCATATCAATTACTTAATTTGCACAATTGAAGTCAATCCATCAATTGTGCAAGTAATGTATATTTGTTGCACTAGTTTCCATAGCTTATTGAGACTCTTGGCAATCAAAAGTTCAATGTAGGATAAAAACTTAATTCTTTTAGTTTTCTCCCAAACCCCCCTACCCCCACTGAAATTTAATTAATAAATATTGACCATGGCGTCAGACTACATTCACCATTAAATACAAATTGATAATCGGACAGTAGTTTGGCATAGCAGTTGGTTGTCGGATGAGTGTAGAAAGACTGCACTCGAACCAAACCATTTTCTCCTCTTGGACGTTTTTCTTTCATTTTCTGTTATTTTTGTCCATGATTGGATAGAAAAAAAACGAACTACAAATACTCCAATATTTTTTTGACTTCATTAAAAAATAAAATCGTTTTTGTAGGATGGAAACTTTTTGAGGTCAAAACCCCCACCCCCAAACTAAAGCAAATAAGTTTTTTATCCGACATCGATCTTTTGACGTCGTCCCTTATGTAGTGCTGTTCCCCATGCTCATTGGAAACTACATGTACCGCAGTCTATTTTTAAATTAAAATTTTCACTTTACCAGAACTACATATTTAAACCAAAAATCTTGTTTTGATTGCTCAAAAGTTAACAAGACTAATACTCAATTTTCCTAAATTGGTTTAAAAAGAATGTCCATGCATCATTCAACACACGTAATACTAGATCAAACTCTATTGATCTAGATCAAGAATGGTCAAGACTGGCTATATAGCACTGGATGTATGAGTGATACCAGGATTACCGTATATACACCACAAAGTTTGTATCTCTATAGCTGGTTGTATAATCAGCATGTGTGAACATCAGGGAAATACTGTGAGCTGTTTCATTTTTGGTGCTACAATGTATCAATTTTCATAATTTGAAAACAAATAATGCTGGGTGTGGATAAAATTAAGACTCCATGTGGGTTTTGTTTTAGCATTTGTGAAAATTTGTTTGAAAGTTGCTGTGACGCTGTGTTTTTCAGACCTCTGTGAAATTGGCACAGTTACACAACTTAGACTTGCATAACTAAAATGGTTTACAGGAACCTAGGAATGAAAATGGTAGATTAGACAGCCTTTAGTCTGAAAGTAGTAACAGCAACTAAAGACAAGAGATTACATACATTAGTATAGGTCACACATTTGTTTGTCCATCATTAGATTTCATTTAAGTCAGTGTAAAATGTATTTAAAGGGGAACCGCTCAATCCCACGGATTGCACCAAAGAATCATGGGACACTATTGTTTATGTTGTTTACAATGTTAATCTATCTTTTGTTATCCATTGTTATTTTAATCCAGAAAGTAAATTTGTTGTGAAATTAAGCTCAACTGGAAGGTGCCCCTTTAAACAAGTAAGGTAAATTCAGATTGTAGTTTATGTCAATATTTCTATACTGATCTCATGGTATTTATGGTACCCTGTGTTGTCACAAATTAAAAAGAAAACAACTTTTTATTTTCTTTCCGGTGTCGACTGATCGTCTTGTAAATGATGAGTTTGTGTTAGAAAACCATTTCTCAGTATATCATCTTTGCCATCATGTCTTACTCCATTTCCCGTAATATATGTGTGCCATTGCCATTATGTCTTAACAAGTCCCAGTCAATTTTCCAATATATAATATATCTATGTCATCATGTCTTAGAAAGAATATGTATGGTAGTCTTCAACCAGTTTTAGTCTGTTTCCCATGATGTATGTATGCCATTATGTCTTAGAAAAAACCTAGTCGTCAACCAGTCTTAGTTTGTTTGACATTGCATTACTTGTAATTTGATGGATGTATAGTTTCATCAATTCTAATGACTACAGATGCAATTTCTTTTTCTATTAAAATTGTGATAAATGTTATCAATTTCCTGTCTGATAGAATACTATAAATGGCTTTAATTTTTTTCAGTGACATATTTATAAGTCTGAATGACCAAATTTTATGGCATTGGGAGTTCTGGAGTGATCAGTTATTTTCTTAATATTTATTTCTGGGAATGACATCAATTTGTGAAAAATAGTGGCAGCAAATATATGCATGTGTGTGTAGGGCTGTAGATTGCACCCTGAAAATAAAAATGAAAAGATATGTTCAAAAAATCAATAATGCCATAGTCTTCACGTTTCCATTATAAGTCCCATGTGTAATTCTACTTTTAAACAATATGCCAAGTTGTTCTACCATCTACTGTCCCAAAATTGCTAATGGTCAAAACCTTGTATCATCTATCTTTATTGTAAGCAGAGCTGTATGTTTGTTTCCTTCCAATATTCTGTACTACCAGATTGTTTTCTCTCTAACTACATTGTATACATGCAATATGATATGGGAGGTCTGGTTGAGGAAAAACTACTGAATCCAGTTTATCATAGTTAGCCTACCTGTCTGTCTGAATTGATTTCCAACTTTTCACATGACTGTTTTTCCTACTTTGCTGTAAAGTAGAGTAGCCTATGAAAGAATTCAAAGCATGCCAACTGTAGTAGGTTAGAGGTATCACACTTCTAATTAAAAATAATTGAAACAAAGTATTTGATGGACATATTCTGTAATTGCTTCCTGCTTGAATCAGTCTCAACAACTGTTCTTATAATTGAGAACTTGTAGTTGAATAATTTGTGATGGAAGTGCATAAATTATAAATGAAAATGCACATAAATCAGAACTTGTCATTAAAACAACAGGAGCAAACTTAATTTTACTCGGTATGTGGCAGTCTAGTTTCTAAATTATCTCACCAAGCCAGAATGGTAATTATTAGAATATCAGCAATGTTTTTCATTGGTATTCATTTTCACTGGTACATGTATTTAATTTCTAATAAAATAATGAGTTCTATTAAAAAATTCACATGGATTTATATTTAGCCAATTTCATTTATCAACAATAATAACGGAATAGCATAGTCAGCCCCCCCCCCCCAAAAAAAAAACAAACAACAACTGGTATTCCACACATGTAGAGGTATGTCATTGATCTGGTGTTACTTTCTCTCTGTAAGGATGATTAAAATGGTTGTATCAGTCTTGTTTTTTGTTGTAACCTTGTAATGACAGCTCATGGTAAAATTACTTCTGTCAGTAAATATCAATGTTTGTGAAACTTCATACAGAGGAAAAAAAATGTAGTGGTATATATATTATATGCGAAATCATTTAATGAACAATGTCACACAATTTCCACATGTCATTAACCATTTATTAGGCCTGTCTAGACCTGTTTCACACATGATATTGTGGGTAACTAGTACACATGCATCATAA